ATGGTTCTGTAAAGGTACATAACTGATCCCAAACACTTCAGCTCCATAACATGCAAGTTTGAATATACAATATAATAATGTTTGACAGATGTCTTGTCATCGCACTGCTCTTTTAACGATATGGTTTGGAGAGAGCAGAAAGGATTTGGGCGGTAAACTTCTCGTACCCAAAATTGAATGAGAGGCTAAATCATGTTACCAACTACCCTTCCCCTAAACCCCAACCACAATGTATTCTGAAGTCTCTTCATTCTATTGAGCTGCTTGGAATGCAAGAAAATCTGGATCTTAGGGCTAAATACTCGAAACAAGGTCAAAGATATATACAAGTACTTTTGCAGTAATTACAGTAATTTTTCTATTCTTTTTTGGAGTAGTTGATTGGACAAAGAAACACATCTAGGTCTTGACCATATCACAAGAAGCATCATGTCTGACAACAGAGCAGACCACCCTCGTTGACCTCTCGTAATGGGTTATATATAGCAAATAAATCCGGAGGTTTGGATTTCGTCCTGATAGAATTATATTGTGTACTTTTGCACATATTTGTTTATATGGTGATCCTCTGGCGATGCGTGTCTGGACTCAACGTGGAATTTGATTGATGATAATGAGGAGTTCATGATAGGGTTCTGCTGGGGTCCGATCCACACATATCCCATGACAGTCCGCTAGTTCAGTGAAAAAGGATCCCTTACCATAAAATCTGAGGGTAATTAAAACCATTGTTTCCGGTGACAATGCATGCGTACGCTCAGTTTGGGAAATAAGGTATGGTGATAGTGAATTTAGGAGCTCAAAAATGGCATGACGTGGTAGACGTTAGCGCCGTATTATGCTATCATCACTAGCGTATACAGAACCCGAGTTCGGTCTCGAAACACCCTTGGTCGTGACCAACGACGCTTGTTCTTCGTATAAGCCAAGGAAAAAATATGTCGCCATCTTGATGCTAAGGTTACGACTGAAGTGTTTGATTTACGATAGCCACTAGCCATTGTCAACTTTTGTCTTAACTTTACGAGATGCTTTCACTAAGATAGCTTTGTGCATCCCAAGATTTCTGTCATAAAGTTACGATAGGTTTTACGATGCTCGTATCGCTACGAACGCTTTGTAGATCCGGCCCCTGGACGACACAGCATGTGAGTAAACCGGGTGAAGTCTTTCTGTCAAGAGTCAGTCATTTAAGGAGAGGCTTTCTTGGAAACAACTGCACCATGCATATATGCCGGTGTGCCGAAGAGAATAGCATTTCAACCGACTCCCTCGCCCGGGTGAAATCGGCATGGTGCTGAGCTGATGATGAGCCTAACTAGCCTGACTGCCAGGATCACCCGAACCATCTTTGTTGCATTCATTCATTTGAATCTTTGAAGCATAATAATAGCAATATTCTTCATCTGAAACAAGACTTACTTGACTTTGTCCTCGTTACTCCTTGGGGATCATAGGGTCTCAACAGTTGTCCTCCACGCTTGCCGGTCAGTGGCTATGCTCTTGGTAGCCTCCCAGGTTAAACCGGTTTCCCTCAGTTCCTCAACCAGGCTTCGTCTCCAGGTCTGTTTTTGGAAGTCCTCTGAAACAAGGAAAGAAGGGAAAAGAAGGATCAGTCTACCTCGGGAGGGGTTAATGACCATCTCATGGAACCAGGTGTGTACGTTGTAAGAGATGCAGGTTAGAGACAAACTATCTGTCCATATTAGGGCTTCAACGAGTCCATTTTCTTGGACTCGAGTACTCGAGTGGTGAGACTCGACTCGGACCCGAGTACTCGAAATTCATACCTTTCAAACAAACGATAGCGTAACCGGCATGACATGTGTTCAGATCACACAAGGGAACACTTACTTCATTCCGACTTCATATCGTCGTACTAACATTTCCTATTGGTCAGAATCAGTATTTGGATGTTTACTTGCCAAATGTGTTTTTTTTTATCGTACTGGTTGTACTGCCTGCATAACACAGTGATATACCGCACAGGCGGCATTTGGTTATTTTTCTCTTTTCACTATCCAGATCAAGACACGCCCATACATTTGATTTCTTATCGTTCTCCGTGTCTGTTAAGATAGTTACCTAATCATTTTAAGAAGTGAAATCTCAAACGATGTATAATATTTACTCTGATCTGCAGACTTGTAACAACTACAGCCATACAGCCACACCTTATGAGGAGTAAGCTATTTAATCTAGGCGTTAATAAAAACATTATCAGATGGGTTAAAGAATTGAGGGTACATACAACTCAGTATGTCAGTGTCAATGGCTATCAATCTTCTTTCCTCTCAACCTCTACTGGAGCTCCACGGACTGTGTTCTTTCATCCGCACTCTTCGTTTTGTATACCAATGACTGTTACTTGTCATTACATGACTTGTTTATTGTGAAATTCGCAGATGACGCCACTGTTACTGGCCTAATTTCTGATTGTGAACCTTATTATCGTCAAGTCATTGACAAAACCGTAATGACAGTTTTTAACAAACCTTTATTCAAAGTGTGTTGACCTACAATTTTCTATGTTGGTATGGGGCCTGTCTGATCGCAACAAAAAACAAACTTTTCAAAATTGTTAATACTACCGACAAAATTTCGAGTATATTCCCTTTATCTATGAGCGCCAGATGGTCAAGAAGGCAACTAAAATTAGATTTGATAGTTAACATATTTTATCTCACCATTTTGAAGTACTTTTTTTTCTAGACGCTGCCGTCGATTACCTTCCCTCAAAAGAAACAGAGCTCGACAGACTTTCATACCATCAAGTTTTCGTGAATGCAACAAATATTTTGAATTATCACCATGTGATAACAACTAGAATTATTCAGCCTCTTTACCTATGTGGTTAATGGAATTATATCATGTCAGATTTATTGTGTAAATAGCTTTCGTTTTGTGCATGTAATTATTGTGTATATTTTTGTGAACTGTGTATATATTCATTAAATTTGAGACAGTTTGGATGTATAAGAATTTCCTCCGGGATAATAAAGTTATATCTTATCTTAATATTAGACGTTGACGGCCGCTCATCCTCAGCACATGGCAGACAGACAGTCTGTCAACGTAACCCAATAATTCGAGTTATCTCCCCTTTTCGAGTCCTCGAGTCCTAGAAAATGGACTCGAGTCCAGCTAAACCCGACTCGTCCTCGAGTACTCGAGTACCCGTGGAAGCCCTAGTCCATATAAGAACAAACTTCGGGCAAATGTAGACTGAAGAAAATCCCGAATTCGGGGCTGAACGCTCGCAATAAAGTCAAAGCCACAAATACTTAGGTTGTGCCCGTTCTATCTTATTCTTTTGGTGTTCTTGATTGAACGAAACTGAATCATGTCTGACAAAAGAGCCCAAAACCCTCGCTCTTAGCTCAATTGTTTATGCTTATCAATTAAAAATGAGAGGATGTGGTTTGATTAACTTGGAAGCTCATCATCACAACATTTCAGTGTGCAATTTAGCACATAGTTATTTGTCTGATTATTCTCTTGTGAAACATGTCAAAGCTCTCGGGCCAAGGATTTCCTCAATCTCAATGTAAATGTTGCTTTTGCTGAAGGTTCTGTACCTCTGGACGGTACAGAAATTAATGTCAACCAACTAAGTGACATTTCAAATTGAAATTGGCACAAGTACAGGTTTTCAAAGTAAGCCTTTCTGGGCGACCATTACAGTGAGTTTAGGTGGAGTGTGTTGAGGAGAAAAGCAAACCCGTGGAGTCAATTCTTTTCCAAATGCTAACTCCATAAATATAGCCAGATTTACCTGTTTTATCATCTAGACTGGTTTTGACCTAATCTCATGCACCGCCGTGCCGGATTATGGGTTTGGGGAGTGTGTGTTTGTGTGTGCGCGCGCTTGTGGGTGAGGGAGGGTTAAGGTGACACAGCGCATTAAAGAGAAGAAGGGGAGTGGGAGATGGGTGTGTAGGCGCGATAATTGGTCATGTGAAAAAGGTTCATACACATCTAAAACCAATTCACGCCCGTTTGTCTCTTTATGAGGAAATAAGTTACTTCGGGTTGACACGGGAGCGGAAAACTTCGACAAATGAATTTACAGTATCAATGACACTGTTATCAGGTCTTCTAAGTCTGCCTAGTGGGCTGCGGACTAGCCACCCAGGAAGACGAAATACCCTAACAATTCTACATTAAGCTTTCCTTGTTGTGAGAGGTTATTAACTCCAAAATGGCAGCTAAAGAAATCACACAGGTCGGGAGTGAGTTCAAGACAATTGGCGCACTGATAAGTAATGTAAGTCCGCAGTAAACTTTGTCTTACTTATACATCATTTGAACAAGGGCTTTGTTGATTCAACCATCCCTGGTGTAAGCAACGAATGCTCGTCGCCAGGAACGATTATATAACGGCATCGGTGGCGTTCAGTTGTTTCTTGTTAAACGCCTGTGTTCCGGAATGTTGCAACTACAGTCGTACTCTTACCCCAGAGACATTACTAGGCTGTATTAGTGTACATGTATATACTTCCCACGATGTTATAATCTATAAGATAGCAAAATACCCGGGCCTATTCGTCATTACATCCGATTAAAACGCCACGGTACTGAGTATACATGTCCCTTCAATTACACCCATATCCCAAAGAAGTGGGAAGTCACTGAGAACTTAGAGAAGATCATGAAATACCAGATTATCAAGGAGAGATATTCCGATTTCCAAACGCTCGCTCATTCGACGAGAATCCAAAAGTGTTTTCCACGAAAGGAAAGAATAGTTCCGAGCAAGTAATAATTCAAAATGACATCAGTGTATTTGCTATCACAGGAATATATGTCGCGATGTTATTTCTGCATAGTGTCGGAAATGTCATTCGGGTGCTAAATGTTTATTTCACGTGCTTCCTGTGGATTTTATTGGCTCGCGTATGTTGAACAATGTAGATACTAACTGCAAGTCATGCCGTCTTGGCGTAAATATTATCTGTGGTACGTCACTGTTATCTAAGTAGCGGGAGTAGCCTCCCTTATATTGAAAGCGGAAGTTGTGGGATATACAGCAAAATGAAGCAAGGGAAATAGTTGACTAATATTGATATAAAATGTCCGGGCGGTTTAAGTCTTACATCAACCGGTATGAGGTGGAAATGAAAGAAAAGGGAAAGGCTGTGAGTATGAGTTCTTTAAAACTATTTATATATATGACGCATGCCATTGTGTGACTTGTTTTATATTCCTACCAAGCCAGAAGTGACATTCCGATCATTTCAGAAATAAGGTTTACTGTGACGCGGGTTATTGCCCCTTTGATAATTAAAAGAAATGCTTATTTGTGTTATAGCCAACGCATCATTTTGGGGCTACTCGAGCTGACTACTTGAGCTGGCTACGTAAATCATTATGATAAGCGTTCACACTTCACGGACACATGATCTTAGGTCAGCTGGACACGCCCACTTCATCTTTGTTTGGGGTGACAGTGTCAAGTCAGTAAATGACAGATCAAATGCATCGTTCATATTGTAATACATATTTACGTGATATTTGTTTTGTAACACATACGAGTATCCTAATGGAGTTGTTGAAACACATTTACCAACACTGGGCAAACATGTCAGGAAGTTTTTCTTGTGTGTAATAAATATGAGTCATGAAGGTTATATTCATGCAATTTTTTTCATGAGTGGAACATTTTCTTACAGGTAACATTTTTACTATAATATGTCACAACAAAACCTGAACATTACATTTTTTCATTTTGAAACTGAAATTTATCTGTAAATCACAGTAAACCTTCTAAATTGTACAACCTTGGTTTTGAAAATTTTGTTTTTGTTAGTAGGTATGTTCTAAAAATCTTCAAGACCAATATCTATTGAATTGCTAAAGCTTTTGTGACATGTATATATTTGTCATGTTTATGGTGCAAAGTGAATATTTTATATTAAATTTATCCTAAATTGTAACAGGCAACTTCCCAGATGCCACCCAATACACACCGACCTGTTGCACACCGTTCTGCATATATAACATGAACATAGCTCTTCATCTGGGAGCATTGCTCAGGCAACATGTGTAGTAAAGTGTAGTAATCCCAGCAATGTATGTATGTAGGTTTAGTAACATGTTTAACATGTAAATGGTGGACCATGTATCTGCCAAAAAATGCTTAGGTAGTATTATGTATGTGAATGGCATTTGGGATTGCAGACATTTAAGTCTTATATTGCTGATGGTCTTCAAGAGGATGGAGGAAAGGTGAGTACTTTGCATGCACTGGTTACCTCCCTTAGACTAGCTTCTATTAGTCAAGGCATTTATCTTTACAGCTTATTTCATACTTGTATATTTGTAATGGCATTTCACATTAACTTGCTGTTGTAAATCAGAATATTTCACTTGAACTCTGTTTAGCTTTAAAAAGATACTCATGGTAACATATTTGATAAAAGTAGGATTTGGGGTTCAAAATTAGAAAATTTCAGATTAGTGTTTTCAAATTCACTGGTAATGTAAATCAAAATGCTTGTTCCCTGTATAGTTGGCAGAATAATTGTTTAAAGCTTTGATTGTATAGTATGTATACATGACATAATATGGGACTGATATTCATGCAACATGTTATATAATGCATGTATATAATTTTACTTTTATCATGTTTATATTATTTTTTTATTTGTTTGGTTAAATATATTTTTCAGTTGATGCAAAACAGTTTTGTTTGGCCTTGAAAGTTTACTTTTCCATCTTTCCTCTGTTACTGTCTCCTTATTTATCCAAGTATCCTAAAGAATGTAGTATTTAGATCTGAAACAGAAACTACCATGTCCTTCATTGTGAATGCATCACTTCCTGAAACAATACTGGAAGTGTGTTGGATTGTTTCCAAGTGTTCTTGATGATAATCTGGTTTACAACTTTGTGTGCATGTTATGTCTTTTGTTGAATGTGTGTATGCATATTGCATAGTCTGTCTCTTTGGTCCTGTACATTGTGTTTGTAGCTTTAATCTTCGGTTGACATGGCTCCCTTATATGTTGCCTGAAGTATTTGTAATTAATTTTGTTTTAAGTTAAAAATCTTAAAAATATATTTATAAGTTGAAATGAAAAAAAAAATCACATCATGGACATATAGATAATGAATTAATGTATGTCAATATATTTCTGCTACAATGTTAGGTTTTCTAATTATTTGCAAAATGACATTGAATGGGGAAGCTTTGTAGATATGTTGATATGTTGATAATAATTGTAAATATGTGAAAGTATACAGAGGAAGTAATATGTTTATTGTTCTCACATACTGCCTGCATTATAACTCCCACACATGGTCATGTATTGCTGGCTTGAGATAACATGAATAACATTGGTAATGTGGACAGTATGCTTGTTCTCAATGGCTCTCTACCTCAGAGGTGACCGCTCAGTCCACAGGATCGCCAGTATATTGGCATCTGCCTCCCTTGAGTAGAGGATAAAGTAAAACTATGGCTGTTATCTCAGTGGACAAGCTCTGTAAAACTATGGCTGTTATCTCAGTGGACAAGCTCTGTAAAACTATGGCTGTTATCTCAGTGGACAAGCTCTGTAAAACTATGGCTGTTATCTCAGTGGACAAGCTCTGTAAAACTATGGCTGTTATCTCAGTGGACAAGCTCTGTAAAACTATGGCTGTTATCTCAGTGGACAAGCTCTGTAAAACTATGTCATGGTATCTCAGTGGACAAGCTCTGTAAAACTGTGTCATGGTATCTCAGTGGACAAGCTCTGTAAAACTATGTCATGGTATCTCAGTGGACAAGCTCTGTAAAACTGTGTCATGGTATCTCAGTGGACAAGCTCTGTAAAATTGTGTCATGGTATCACAGTGGACAAGCTCTGTAAAACTGTGTCATGGTATCACAGTGGACAAGCTCTGTAAAACTGTGTCATGGTATCACAGTGGACAAGCTCTGTAAAACTGTGTCATGGTATCACAGTGGACAAGCTCTGTAAAACTGTGTCATGGTATCACAGTGGACAAGCTCTGTAAAACTGTGTCATGGTATCACAGTGGACAAGCTCTGTAAAACTGTGTCATGGTATCACAGTGGACAAGCTCTGTAAAACTGTGTCATGGTATCACAGTGGACAAGCTCTGTAAAACTGTGTCATGGTATCACAGTGGACAAGCTCTGTAAAACTGTGTCATGGTATCAGTGGACAAGCTCTGTAAAACTGTGTCATGGTATCACAGTGGACAAGCTCTGTAAAACTGTGTCATGGTATCACAGTGGACAAGCTCTGTAAAACTGTGTCATGGTATCACAGTGGACAAGCTCTGTAAAACTGTGGCATGGTATCACAGTGGACAAGCTCTGTAAAACTGGCATGGTATCGCAGTGGACAAGCTCTGTAAATCTGGCATGGTATCGCAGTGGACAAGCTCTCTAAATCTGTGGCATGTCACTCAGTGTATTCATATGTAAGTTCAAGTTTGATTTCACTGGAGTTCAATGAAATTACTTGTAAACAGACACTTTGAAATCCTGAGGTGGGTTGAGGTGTGTATCGTATTCAAGATTATTGCACTTATATAGTGATTTTTTTTGCACTTGGATTTTTGTCCTGCGTATGACACGGTTGAGGTTTCACCCTTTACAGATGTTCTATCCACCTGACCAGTCAGTCTCTGACTGCATTATAGTATGTGAAGTATTGGCAGTATACATTGATGTAACACAAGATGATCAATAGTTACAAATGTAATACTATCAAAATACAATATATCATCACCAACATTAGTTAATACTTGGGTGTTGGGGTAGCCTAGTGGTTAAAGTGTTCGCTCGTCACGCCGAAGATCCGGGTTCAATCCCCAGAGGAGTACATTGTGTGAAACCCATTTTTGGTGATATTGCTGGAATATTGCTAAAAGCACGTAAAGCCAAACTCGCTCACTAGTAAATTACTAAATGCTTCCTTTTAAGTCACAAAATGGACATAAGTTTATGCCTGTCTAATATTCAGCGATACTTCCCTTAAATCTGAAACCATTTCCCCAACACAGATTTCCACTGGCGAATATCTGAGGTTTGATAATATGTTGATTATACAGGACTTGTATCTGTTTGGAGGATAAGGTTATTCTGTATATTTTCACAATAATGCAGTAGTATGTATCACATTTGGTGTCAACTCCAGCAAAACTGTTACAAGGTCTGTCATGAGTCATCAGTGTTTTGAGGCATCGTGAACTAACGATTAATGATATTATAAACAGCAGGCTGTTGTAGCGATTCAAGGTTATACATGTATTAGTTTAAACAGTACTACTTATTAAGTAACACAAATGACTGGAACAGGTAACTTCATTCAAGGGTTTGGATGGTCCCAATTAAGACCTTTGTACTCACAGGACAACATGAACTGATGCTTATTCATGTGATATGTTGTTTTATGACAGTAACCATGGTAACAATAAAACACCATGTTTTACTCAATGTTGCTAAAGTTTGCATTCCTTCTGACTTTCATGGTTTTCAGTAAATATAAAGCTACAGTCAACTAATCAGGGTATACTTGGCCAGATCAGTATGTATGGAAATAGTTTGTGTTTCTGGAAATGCAGTTCCTAATCAGACATTTTGTATACAGACCTTCAAAAGGTACCAGGGCATCTTAGCGGTTAAAGCGTTCATTCGTCATGCCGAAGACTGGGGTTTGATTCCCCACATGGGTACAATGTGTGAAGCTCATTTCTGGTGTCCCCCACCATGATGTTGCTGGAATATTGCTAAAAGCAGCGTAAAAACAAAGTTACTCACTCAAAAGATATGTGTACCAGGGTATGGGAAAATACTTGGACAGTGAATTTGAACTTGTCCTGGCCCTGTGTTGTGTTTGCAGTACATTAACACTAGGCACAAGAGTGAATAGTAAATCTGAACCCCAGTCAACAACAAACAGAGAATTCATGAGAAAGCAGGGCATTTTAAGAATGTTAGGTATCACATTGCACAATAAGTTTGTATGACTGAAGTAAGTATCGTGTGACGCCTTTCATTTACATCAGGACAATGATGTTTGCCTATTAGGATGATTAAGGGCACATGGTATTATTCAAACAAACCAGACTCACCTTCTTTCTACTTCCTGCATTCCTGGTGAGTTTAGGTCACCACTAACCTATACTGGGTGTACAAGTCTTTTTAGTCGTTGGACCTAAACAGTATGGAGACAGATCACATCAACAACTGGTATATATGTGTAGTACCTACATGGGGCAGTGGGATAGCCTAGTGGGTAAAGCGTTTGCTCATGACGCCGAAGGCCTGGGTTTGATTCCCCACATGGGTACAATGTGTGAAGCCTATTTCTGAATTCTCCCACCCTGATATTGCTGGAATATTGTTAAAAGCGGCGTAACACTAAACTCTCTCACTTCATACCCACAGACTTACATTTACAGGCTGCCATCTTGTAGCCGGAATATTACTGAGTTTGACAACAATATGCACACCTGACCCATCTTGTTTGATGCCTGGTATTGTAAACCCAACTTTGTGTTTTGTCATCACGTGGTCCAATCGGTGCTTCTACCTGTCGTGTCATCAGTGTTGTTTAGAGTCCTACGTTGTCTTATAACCCTTTATATTCACTTTATATTGATGTCTGATGTTACAGAATGTTTTAATCATATACTTTGGTAAAGGATCTGTGTGGTGTTTTGTTTAATGATTGTACTGAAATTCAAAGCTGAATTGCTGTGTTTTTTTATGGCTTATACCTTTATGTTGTAATGTGTAACTGTGTCACTGTCTCTGTGAACTTAGATAAATTCTAATTAATATATTGACAGATATCACAAGATCAAGCTGGTCTAATGACCAGAACAAATTGGCCTTGTCCTCCTTTCACACACAGGGCAGTGGGGTAGCCTAATGGTCAAAGCATCCGCTCGTCATGTTGAAAACCTGGGTTCGATTCCCCACATGGGTACAATGTGTGAAGCCCATTTCTGGTGTCCTTCGCCTTGATATTGCTGGAATATTGCTAAAAGCGGCGTAAAACCATACTCACTCACTCCAATCACATACTTAAGCTGACTGGTCATTCAGAACGAAAATTATATTTACATTTTAAGATCTTATAATCTATTTTGAACTTTAACTTTGAATATTTAAACTTTTGAAGTGAGCAAAATGTGTAATGATGATCCTGTAACCTTAGGATACGAAGACAATGCATAGGATGAAATGTATATATATTTGATTT